CCAAAACTCCTGAATCCCAAATCCCTGAGATCCAAAAATCCTGAGATCTAAAATCCCAATATCCTAAATCCCAAAATTCCAAATCCCAAAGATCCCAAATCCCCAATCCCAGTGATCCAAAATCCCAAAATTCCAATATCCCAGTATCCCAAATCCCAGGTGTCCCCAGGTGTGTCCCAGGTGTGTCCCAGGTGTGTCGCCAGGTGTCCCCAGGTGTATCCCAGGTGTGTCCCAATGTCCCCAGGTGTGTCCCAGGTGTGTCCCAGGTGTATCCCAGGCGTGTCCCCAGGTGTATCCCAGGTGTCCCCACTGTCCCCAGGTGTGTCCCAGGTGTCCCCAGGTGTGTCCCAGGTGTCCCCAGGTGTGTCCCAGGTGTGTCCCAATGTCCCCAGGTGTGTCTCAGGTGTGTCTCAGGTGTGTCCCAGGTGTGTCTCAGGTGTGTCCCCAGGTGTGTCCCAGGTGTCACCTGCAGGTTCCTGGCCGTGAAGGGCTCCAGGACCCTCCTGGGGCCATTCCCAGTGTCCCCAGGTGTGTCCCAGGTGTGTCCCCAATGTCCCAGGTGTGTCCCAGGTGTGTCCCAGGTGTGTCCCAGGTGTGTCCCAGGTGTCCCCAGGTGTCCCCAGGTGTGTCCCAGGTGTGTCCCCACTGTCCCCAGGTGTCCCCAGCTGTCCCCAGGTGTGTCTCAGGTGTGTCCCAGGTGTCCCCAGGTGTCACCTGCAGGTTCCTGGCCGTGAAGGGCTCCAGGACCCTCCTGAGGTCATTCCTGGGGCCATTCCCAGTGTCCCAAATGTCCCCAGGTGTCCCCCGGTGTCCCCAGGTGTGTCCCAGGTGTGTCCTAAGTGTGTCCCAGGTGTCCCCAGGTGTGTCCCAGGTGTCCCCAGCTGTCCCCAGGTGTGTCCCAGGTGTGTCCTAGGTGTGTCCCAGGTGTGTCTCAGGTGTGTCCCAGGTGTGTCCCAGGTGTGTCCCAGGTGTGTCCCAGGTGTCCCAGGTGTGTCTCAGGTGTGTCCCCAGGTGTCCCCAGGTGTCACCTGCAGGTTCCTGGCCGTGAAGGGCTCCAGGACCCTCCTGAGGCCATTCCTGGGGCCATTCCCAGTGTCCCCAGGTGTGTCCCAGCTGTCCCCAGGTGTGTCTCAGGTGTGTCCCAGGTGTGTCCCAGGTGTCCCCAGGTGTCCCCAGGTGTCCCCAGGTGTCCCCAGGTGTGTCCCAAATGTCCCCAGGTGTCCCCAGGTATCCCCAGGTGTCCCCAGGTGTGTCCCAGGTGTGTCCCCACTGTCCCCAGGTGTGTCCCAGGTGTGTCCCAGGTGTGTCTCAGGTGTGTCCCAGGTGTGTCCCAGCTGTCCCCAGGTGTCCCCAGGTGTGTCCCCAGGTGTCCCCAGGTATCCCCAGCTGTCCCCAGGTGTGTCCCAGGTGTGTCCCCAGGTGTGTCTCAGGTGTGTCCCCAGGTGTGTCCCAGCTGTCCCCAGGTGTGTCCTAGGTGTGTCCCAGGTGTATCCCAGCTGTCCCCAGGTGTCCCAGGTGTGTCCCAGGTGTCCCCAGGTGTGTCCCAGGTGTCACCTGCAGGTTCCTGGCCGTGAAGGGCTCCAGGACCCTCCTGAGGTCCTTGCAGAGGCTCCGGAGGCTCCTCCCGGCGCGGCCGCGCGGGAACACGAAGGAGTGAGGGACGGAGGAGAATTCCTGCTGGGAACGCTGCCGGGCCTGCGCCCGCTGCAGCCGCTGGAACCGGCTCTGAGAGGATGGAAAATATCCCAAATTATCCAAAATATTCCCAAAATTATCCCAAATTATCCAAAATATCCCAAATTATCCCAAAATATCCCAAAATTATCCCAAATTATCCCAAAATCCCAGCCCCCACAGCGGGAACACACAGGAGTGAGGGACGGAGGAGAATTCCTGCTGGGAACGGCTCTGGGGGGAAAAAAATCCCACAAAATCCTAAAATACCCCAAATTATCCCAAAATATTCCTTAATTATCCAAAAATATTCCTGTATTATCCCAAAATATCCTAAATTATCCCAAATTATCCCAAAATCCCAGCCCCCATGGCGGGAACACACAGGAGTGAGGGACGGAGGAGAATTCCTGCTGGGAACAACTCTGGGGATGGAAAAATATCCCAAAATATCCCCAAATAATC